GTATACCGGTACTTAGAACTGTAGATACATTTAAATGACCATTTTTTCAGAATAATTCATGGTTTGAAATTACTTTCAGTCATTGGTGACGAAAGTGTCACAATTTATTGTAATCAATTCTGAGTAAAATTTACCATTGGTGACTGACAAAGGTTTAGCAGAATCCTCAGATAATAATTGGTGGAATGTTGTAATCTACCGATATACAAAACACAATGACTATGCAAAGATTTCTCTGATTGGAGAGTTGATTACCCAGTCAGGGCTGTCTCTTAAATCACTTTTTCTTGCTTTTCACATATCAAATCATTGTAATTCAAACTCTTAATATTAAATTAATATTAAATATCAATACATTTTGATAAATAGCTTATCAAAATATCCATGAAAAGGTCTGGCTTTTGTAAACTAGATGTTCAACTTGCCGTTTTTTTCATGTTTGTGGTTTGAATTTATTTAAATAATAATAGTAATCTGAATTTGATATATACATGTATTAGTCAACATAATTGATATGTATAGAAGCATGATGATATGCTTTGACACATGTGCTCATCTTATGTTTATAGTTTGATATTTTAGTTTGACGAGTACAGACACGTTTCCTTTTTATGAAAAATAAATTGTACTTTGTACATTGTGGGCAATAAATTGTATTCTGTATGCTATGGGCAATAAATTGTACTCTATATGCTATGGGCAATAAATTGTACTCTATATCATTATGCTATGGGCAATAAATTGTACTCTATATGCTATGGGCAATAAATTGTACTCCATACGCTATGGGCAATAAATTGTACTCCATATCCTATGGCCAATAAATTGTACTCTATATGCTATGGGCAATAAATTGTACTCTATATGCTATGGGCAATAAATTGTACTCTATATGCTATGGCCAATAAATTGTACTCTATATGCTATGGGCAATAAATTGTACTCTATATGCTATGGGCAATAAATTGTACTCCATACGCTATGGGCAATAAATTGTACTCTATATGCTATGGGCAATAAATTGTACTCTATATGCTATGGCCAATAATTGTACTCTATATGCTATGGCCAATAAATTGTACTCTATATGCTAT